AAAGAACAACGTGATTCAAACGTTGGTCGTATGTGACCAGCATACGGAGCCACGTGGGTCATCGATGACCGACACTGCTCTATTATTTTATATTTTATCCAAAAATCGTGGCCTCTCTATATGGGAAACCCTGTAAAATTAGAATACACAGGTTGGTGATGAGATGTTTTATTTTTCAACACAGGTGGTCGTACATTGGTTCGTTATAAACGTATTCATAGCAAGTACTTTTACAGGGAAAAATATAGTCGTAGGATTTTCTGTAAAGGAAAGAAGAAAAAAAATGAGAATAAAAGAGAGGGAGAGAGAGAGAGAGAGAGAGAGAGGAAAGGAGTGTCGCATTGAGTATGCAAAGTGCACGAGTCGAGGAGTTGCTTCCCCGGTAGGAAAAAAAAGGATATAGTAAAAAAAATGCAAGGTTACCCACATTTCTTTTTTTATTCACCCATAGAGCAGTTTCGTCCTGGCCGCTGAGTTTCGGGGTGATGCCGAAACGAGATGAACGGAACGAGTCGAACGAAGCGGGGGATGCAGGAGGAGGAGGTGGAGGTGGAGGAGGAGGAAGAAGAGGAGGAGGAGGAGAGTGTTAGGTTCGAGAAGAGAAACGAACGGGAAACAGGCAGCGGTGGCGGAGAGAAGATAAGAAAGGAGATAGAGAAGAGAAAGAATGATAAGAAAGAAAAAATAAAGATTGTTCCTTATCATCCGGTAATACCTGGTGCGATTTTTTTCCGTAGCTCTACGAACTTTTAAGCATCGCTCGATTCGGTTGTATCTCATTCAAACGTGAACGAATGTTGTTGTTCTTTTAAATTAATCGAAAATTTCTAAAATTACACATTTTTCTTTTTATTTATTTTTTTTTTTATTATACTATATGTCCTTGAAATAAAATGTTTGTTCGAAAAACCATGATTTCGAGAATACGTTCTCTGCTTATGCGACGGAACGTTCACTGTGAGACGCTTTTGTCGATATTTCTTTTGTTACAATTTCTTTCTTGCTTTCCTTTTTTCGAACAAAAAAATAAATAAAAATCCTATAACTTTTTTTTTCCAAGACAATTGAATGAGACAACTTTGTGAAAACATAAAAAACAAAACGTAGGAAAGATTTTCTCTCGTATATCTTATTTTTTTAGCACTTCCGTCAGTAAAAAATGTAGGAAAAAAAACTAAGTTGTACATTTACAAGTATATATATTTATAAGAATTTATTAGAAGTTATTCCATTTAGAATTAACAAGCGCCAAGGTCAAAGTCGCGAACGAGATTAAAGCGTAAGAATGGAAGAAGATCGGAAGGGGTGGGATTGGTGGGGTAGGTTGAAGGGCATTTCGAAGGCAGGTTGATTCGTTCGGTAACATCGGTAACACTTTTCGATCGAGAAACTCGAGCTTCGACCGTGGGAGTTTTAGAAAAATCTCACCCAACAAAGTTTCACGAGTAGCAAGGACATTGGGCGCGCTACGAGAGAAACCTACGAGAGGCGAGGAGAGAAGAGAAAGAGAGTGAGAGAGAGAGAGAGAGAGAGAGGGAGAGCATATATCACACAGCTGTGCGAGGATTCGCCTGTTGTGTGTTTGCGCGCGCACGTGCGCGACAGAAAAGACGTGATCTGAGAGAGAGGAGAACGAGAGAGAGATAGAGAGAGAGAGAGAGAATGATAGAGAGGGTTGGAGGGAGAGAATTGTTCTTCCTTGGGAGAACTAGAAGTGGGAGAAGACAGGACCTAAGAGAGAGGGAAAGAAAAGGATGAAAAACGAGCAAGTATAAGAATGAGTATGAGAGAGAAAGAGAGAGAGAGAGAGAGAGTATAGTCCTGCAGGATCCAACATCGTCTTTCGTGAGACGACGATGACGACAAAGCTAAAGTGTGGGAGAGAGAAATATTGGAAGTGGGGGGAGTGAGAAAGAGAGAAGATTGGTGATTCGGTGAGAAGGGAAAGGGATGGTCCGGAACGCAGAGAGAGGAACAAGGTGGGGGTAAGGTACGCTCACGTCTCAAATTCGGTTGGCTGTCTCGAGGCGCTGGTATTCTCTCTCTCGCTCTCTCTCTCTCGCTCTCTCTCTCTCTCTCTCGCTCTCTCTCTCTCTCTCTCTCTCTGACACATACACACAGTCATCTCCTCTATTAACCGTGTGCGTGCGTCTGTTTGGCACGTATTTCTCGTAGGAAGGAGAAATCGGTGTAGATCGACCGTGGTATACTGAACCGAGAGAGATAGATTCTAACGAGGAAGAGTGGGAGTCTCGTAGTGGTAGGGCGACACTCTCTGATATAGAATGTGAGAAAGAGAGAGAGAGAGCGAGAGAGACAGTAAGTGAGAGTGAGCGAGAGAATAGACGTGGAAGGCGGTAAAAGAAGGAAAGGAAGGGGAGGATTGGAGAGGGTGAGTGATTCCAGAGAACAGGGTGGGGATAGAGCTTTCTTGCTCATAGTTTACTTGCCCCCATCGAGAAATCCCAACCAGAGTTGTACCGGCTTTCGTAGCTAACGGATCTGATACTCCGGCATATTCGTTGACATACTGGAAGACGCGTGCACCGAGAATATAGTTGATCGTGTGAAAAGTCAAAATTTCGCAAACGTAATTAAAATTACGAGTGTTGTTACAGTGAGTGAGGAAAACATCGACAAATTCAATCGATTAAATTATTCGTTTATTTAATCGAGCATTCAATTTGCTTAATTATCGACTACGGATTAAGCATTTTAAACGATATAGTAGATTGTTGTCGAGTCCAGCGATCGTATTTATCATTGCAATTCATCGCTACAGTCACGAGTTTTTTTAACTCCTGCTTAATCCAATTAAATCGTTGTCTTTGCTTCTATAAAACGGGTGGAGTTTCTTTATTTTTTGTTTTTTGTTTTTGGAATATTTGTGATCGTTTGCGAAAATAATCGATTTAATTTTTTGGACAATTAATTGATCTGAAAGATCTTGCGTGTGATACGTGATTGTTTACAAATGAAAAACATTGGGACACTTGTTGTGATTGGTATCCTTTATTATTACAAAAGGAAGAATGGATTGTAGCGATACAGAGAAGATCACAGTTTCAAGGGATAACACATTGTGATGACCGATGATTCAGCTAAAGGATCCAATCGTTCGATACTTATTTGAAGAATCCACGTACGGGATCATCGCAATTAAGGAAAAGAGATTACACAAGTGAGAAAGATTGAAAGACAAATAAAAAAAAAAACAACGCTTTACGCAATATTTCTTTTCCCTCCTCTTTTCTTTGTTTCTGTTTATTAATGATTATTATTATTATTTAATACAATATTTTTGTGCTGTATGTTGGCTATATAATTTTTAGATTGGCACCTTGTTTTTATTTTTGCTTGTTCATTTAACGCTTTTTTTCCACAGGATCTCTCCTCTTCTTTTTCTTTTTCCTCGAATTCAGTCTGCTTTTCGTTTGGTTTTTGGTTTTAGGACTTTTCTTAAAATTAATTTTTTTTGTTCTTGCGCTTTTTCATTCAATCATACCGTTCAATCCCGCGAATAATTTCTTTTTTCAGAACACGCGCGAAAAATCGGAACAACGTCAAAGGCACCCAGCGTCGCACGGGCGCTGTCGATCCGCGCACAGTTCCACTATTCCCTTCTTGGGTTCATCGAATACCCCCTGATCATTTCGTGAAGGGAAAAGTGACAATGCGGTTGGCTACCGATCAGCCAAAAAACTTGACAATTATATGGTTCCTTGTGATGCGTTTAGGTGCGATCTTATGATAAATGTAGAACACGTTTTATTTTAACATTTTTTTCTTTTTTTCTTTCCTCATTAATTTTTACTTAATTACGACTAATACTCGCGAGCGTTGAGATTATTAGGGACTACAATATCATTGATAATAATTACGACTTCAACGTGGATTCAATCGAATACGTCACAAATTACGCGTTGTGTTGTGAATAAAAAAGAAAGAACGGGATTTTCCTTTTTTTTTTTTTTTTTTTTTCTAAAAACTATCGTCGTAATATAAACAAAGTAAACTGTTAGACTCATACATAGAGAGAGGGAGAGAGAGAGAGTGAGAGTGAGAGAGAGAGAAAAAGATAGATAGAGAGAGAGAGAGAGAGAGAGAGAGAGAGAGAGAAAGAAAGAGAGAGAGAAAGAGAGAGAGAGAGAGAGAGAGAGANAGAGAGAGAGAGAGAGAGAGAGATAGCGTTAGAAGGAGCAACAAAAATAAAACATTAATAGTAGTGAAAGTGAAAGAAAAGAGTTGAGTTTCGTCGAACGGGTCAAGCGCGAACGCGCGCGCTTCCCTTGCGCGGAGCAGAAGCGTTAATTTCGTTACTACTGCATTTTCGATCTTAAAGCGTTTAAGAGAAGAATAAGTAGCTGGAGTATAGAAAAGTAAAAAAGATATAAGAAAGTAAAATTATAAAAACTTAATATGAGTGAAATAAATAACGTTGAAAAGCTGCAAGAACAAGATCAAGATCAAGAGCAGCAGCTGCAGCAGCAGCAGCAGCAGCAGCAGCAGCAGC